TCTTGATGTCAATTGTTATCACACATAATTCATTCTTATTCTAAATTTTATACATTTTTTATTAATATACGCAAAAACACGTGCATCGCACGTACACTAAAGCTAGTATGCAATATAAATAATGACGTGTTTCGTTTATTGTTAAGAATTATCGACAAAACAAATTTCGAATTTGAAAATGATATATAAACTAAAAAAAGCTTGGGGTTGGAATAAAATGAAGAACAAGGAGATTAGTGAAGTATTTAAACAATATTGCTAAGAAAGTCATCACCATACATGTAAGAATTACACATTTAAATAAACAAAAGAAACATGAAATTTATGTAAAGTTTTTACGGAGAGCCTAGCTGGTCACTACCGTATAATCTATAGCCAATCTTTCCAAAAACTGCTCCTCCTCTTTTTATTTTTATTTTTTTTATAAACCAAATACTTCATTAACAAAATAATTATATGGCTAGCATGTTAGAGTGGCTGCCCAGGTGGCCAGCATTGTTTGCAAAAGTGTTAGTAATATATTGACCAATGTTTTTCTATTGAAAGTAGTTCCTAGTATGTCTGCCCATAGTGCATCATTGGCAAACATCAGAGAAACTGTCAAAATTCTAATTCTGTCAAAACAAAATTTCTTTGCTTCTTCCGTTGCTAGGAAGTATGCCACCTGGTTCTACTCTATGAAGCTATGGTTGATGACTGGGTTCACCGCTGTGTCATCAAGAACCTGTAATTACAAATAATGTTATAATTAGGCAACTTCAAAAGCTTTTCCCAGTGTTGGTTAACAAGGATTCTATGGCACTTATTGCTATATGGGGTACCAACATATGTGCTATTGTTTTCACTCTCGCTGTTTCAATTATTGTATTGTTAATCTCCATGTATTTCTATTGTATATTTTTGGGCTAACTTCAAAAAGAATAAATTCAATTGAGATATAATGGATGATACCAAACTTCAGACAAACACAAGCAATTTGACAAACTTCATAAATAAGTCTAACTTCAATTCCGCGGATCTAAAATTAATTTTGAAGCGGCTAAACTTGCAAAAGTTATGAATTTGGCTAATGCAATCAACCTTTCTTTCATTCTCATTCTCTTTTTATTGTCAATTGCTCTTGCCATCGATTTTTACGTACGACACTAACAGTCTTGCATAACGTACGGAGGGGACTCCAGTTAGCGGATAGTAAGTGCACGGACATCGATTAGCCTTACGTCGCCCTTCCTTCCAAGACATCTCAAGAAAAGGCTATTTGCGTAAAGATACCAATAGGATTGCCCTTCATGGGTCGGATCCATGATCAATTACAAATCCATAAACACACAAAAATAGAAAAAAGTCGTCCAAAAGACAGAACAGAGCAATGGCGTATATAGCACCAACAATGGGCGTCTCCCAAATTTCATCTTCCATATACAAGCCGGAACTTCCACTCAAGTCCCAGAATCCAAATTCCTTTTTCCTCAAAAGAACTAAGGTAACTCATAAAAAAATCAATTTTGTTAATAAAGCAAGCAGCGTCGATGGGTCCACTCCAGTTCCAGGTCTTTACTCAGCCAAGCAATTCGAGCTGACTCCTGAAAACGTGGATTTGGTTCTTGAAGACGTTCGCCCTTATCTCATTTCTGATGGTGGTAACGTCGATGTCGTTTCTGTCGAAGACGGCGTCGTTTCCCTCCAGCTTCAAGGTTAGCTTTTTATACTAGTATTATACTTGATCTCTTGCTTGTACTTCGATATTACTCTCATCAGTTCATATGAGTTTAAGTTATATACACCATCACTATAATTAATTTTTACAACATAAGGTCACTTTTGGTAACATGTAGATATCCTTTGGCTGATCTTATAATGTAAAAAAATCTCTACATTGACTAAACTTAAACTCTTTATATAATATTATTAGTTTAATTAGTTTGATTCCTCACCTTGTAATCCCCACAGTGCCACTACAAGACTTAGCGTCCAATGGACTTTAGAAGTAGATGATAATGATGACATATTGTGATGTTCGTCCTGGACAAGTCTCGGGCATATGGCAAAGATGCGTCTAGTGTAAAACATGAAGTTATGTGCTGATGCTACGTAGTGTCTTGTTGCGATCAACAGCGCACAATGAGTCCATTCAGGGTAGTTCGGCGAGTTATGTTCTCCCTGCCAGGTTGTGAGGGGCTTAGTAAGTTAAAAAAAGAAACTGTAGGAGGATGGTGTAATGCATAATATATGATGCTACAGCTCCTCGTAAATGGCAAAGTACTCCGGAAGGCTATGGTCCCACTCCTCCTTTGAATGTACTCAAATGATACAGTGATGATACACGCAGCAACGATTGGGGAAAAAGGTACTTGTGTCCTGATTCTATAGTCTTGGTTTTGACTAAGCACAGGATTAGAGTTGGCATTATCATTATGTGTGCTCAAGAAAGGTGAGCCCAAGAAACTACTGTCAGGAATTACTATTTACTGAGTTTGAGATTTAATAAAATAAGCAAGTCACATCTGAATCTTTGACTTAGTATGTCTGACCACTTTAAAGGGGGAACTGCAGTTGGAAGCACCAAACTATGTTGTACTTATAAGGCCACCATTACTTACTCCTTGGATTAGATGTAGTTTGATTTCCGTAAAATATTTAATAACTTGGATAATGTTGGGTTTTCCCCACTAGAGGACTGCAGATGAGTCTCCGAGGCTTAACAGTACCAAGCCAGCCTAAGTCTGCAGAAATATTTTACGCAAATAATGTAAAGCCAAAGGGAATTCATTGAATAATGGACATTTATACTGGTTGATAACCACTTTTTTCTTTTATTTCTGTTGAACACTTCTAAAGCCTACACATGCTGTAGTAGCCCCATAAACAAGAAAAATGATAGGATTAGAGATCTGTATTTCCTCACGTGTCTCGTCTTTCTATATCCTAGTATACTTCACTGGAGTGACTAATCTAAAGCACTAAATTTTTAAATAAGATAAGATCGAAACATTTGTTTATAGATAAGGTTTCTATTTTTCCTTGTTGTTTTTAGAGTATACTATTCTATGAGCATATAAGATTATTGTTTTTATTGAAGACATAATTAGTAAATAATCCCATCTTCCCTTCATGAAAAAGAAAAAATGTTCCCAAGTGCTTGGCCCATTAAAAAGGAAGTTAGGACCGCACTTGAGGGATTGTTGCAGACCTAAATAATAAAATGAAAGTGTCATCTCTCTAACAATTTTAACTTTACAATGGTTACAATTCTATAATATCAAGTTTCCAACTTTTGACAAAACCTAAAGATAGGAATATTGTAACAAAGGGGTAATGTTCTAAAAATTCATGCGAAATACCAAGAGTATGGAGGAAGGATAAAATCACTACATTTAAATAAAATAGAAGAAGAAGATAGACAAAGACTAATTAGTAATTACAAATCATGAAATCACTATTCATGGTTCAGACCTAAAAGCGATATTCATCTAAATACCAAATAAGATAACAGAGAAGAAGGAAGAGAGTGGAGAGAATAAAAAGTATATATATATAGAGAGAGAGGGAGGGAGGGAGGGAGGGAGAGAGAGAGAGAGAATCAGAAGATTCAGTACATGCCAATCATGATTTATCCATGAAAGCCAATAGATTTGAATCAAGAATTGCGTTGCTTAAACTATTTCATGCGAATGAGCTATTGTTTTTTAATGGAGTAAGGAGAGGTGCCATTTGGTGTGTGTTGCTAGAGTGGGAGGGTAATGGCGGCCCCCATTTGGAAATCGAAATCGAAAAAAGAAAGTTGGTTGTCAGCCACCACACAAATGTTTCTCCTTAAATGCGCTCAGGGTAGCTTGAAAAATTTCTGATACATGCATGATGACCGTTTGAGTCTTGATTTATAGAAACATTACTTATTTACTTATGGAGATGCTTGATGTTTCGTACACTGGATATAGGAGCATGCGAGAGTTGTCCTAGCTCAACAACCACAATGAAGATGGGAATTGAAAGGGTACTCAAGGAAAAGTTTGGAGAAGCCATCAAGGAAATTCGCCAAGTATATGATGAACATGTAGTTGAAACCACCGTTGAGGTGAATATTTTCAAAATCAGTTGCTAATGGATGCTATTGCATTCAAATGGCTTTAAAAATATCTAACTAAGAACTCATGTTCCCATGTTCCTGCAGGCTGTGAATGCTCACCTCGATATATTAAGACCTGCCATTAAGAATTTTGGTGGCAGTGTGGAAGTTTTATCTGTCAAGGAAGGCAATTGCAATGTGAAGTATGTAGGGCCTGAGTCTATTGGATCAGGAATCAAAGCAGCAATTAAAGAGAAGTTCCCAGATATTGTCAATGTAGTGTTAGCTGCCTAGCTTGCTGCGCGACAGGATTTTGTGAAGTTCTTTTGACATGTTTGAGGTTAAATGCCAACACTATTGTCTTTTATGTAGGAGAGATGTATGATCTTAACAATTTCAAGCAACTTATGTGTTCACTATGTAAAGAGAGAACCAATAATAAAGTGGTCAAGTTTCTTACCACCTTCGCTATTCTGTATTGATATGACAAGATTGTGAAAAGCAACATCTTTAAAAAACATTATGCTCTCCAAATAAATGCAAGTCATGGTTTTGAGGGTCAATTGTGCAGAACATCTGAACTTCCTCTTGAACTTGATCTGGTATCCTCTTAAAGTCATGCTCTCCAAGTGATTGTCCAAGTGACTAAAAGGTTTGGAAAGTTTAAGACGTGCATGTTAGGTATTTAGTTCACAACCCACCCACTGCAATCCAGATTAAAGTGATTATGCAAAATAAAGCTGCTATATTTCTCTTTTTTCTTTAATCCCTTGACGTACACATGCGTTTGTTGTTGTCAGGAACATATATCATCATACTGCCTTCCTGCTCTCTTTCTGGACAAGGAGCAAAAAAATTGTCCATGCATAACCGAAAATTGATGAAATTCTTTCTTGTAGTTAACAAGCACGGGAGAACCTACTGCAAATTTGAGTGTAGAAACTAAATCAGGTCTCGGACACATATGTAATTACAGCACTATCTAATTTTACATCCATCAAATACAAGAACCATCTAAAAAAAGAGAAGAAGCAGCACCGAAACTATTATGATTCGTGATAAGGCCCAAAGAAGCAGATCGCTTGCCCTTTTCACTTTCAGCTTCTATGCAGTGCCAGTTCATGTCTGTCCATTCCAGTAAGCAACTTAAACGAAACTAAACCACTACTACTTCGATGTGCTAATTAAAAAAAGCCGACATGGCTCAATAATTTAATGACATGCCAAATGGATATGGTAGAAAGGGGAGGCTAACATGCTAATCACAATTTTAAGTTACAGATGTATTTACAGACTTCGTGGACTGTCTGTACTCTGAAGCAGAGGACTGATCTCCACAGAAAGTATTAGAGGGGCATCTCACATTTCTTGTGTCACTTAAATGAGACAGCCACATTTGAGGTTTGCAAGGTTCGATCACGTTTCATGCTGGAGGAAATCCAAAGAGACACAGAACACATCACAGTGGCACAAGAAGTTGATTCAAGCAGCTTATCATACAGCTCCTTGTAGCTTTCTGACGTACACAACCTAGAAAGTAAGATGTGGAAGAAATTAAAAAATCGTCTATTAAGCATCGTGCAAGAAGATTTAAGCTGTAACATACATCCTTACGGCTAAATTCTCATATACCACTCACATTAAGAGCATTGAGAGGAAAAATGTACTAACCCTCCAATTCATCCATCTGAAGTCTTTAACTTGCGGGGCCGTTTTGACTGTGCTGGCGAAGATGGAACTTCTGATAATCGCCCAGGCCCCTGGATCCCCAAATTAAAATAGTGGACTTTTAGAACTGTTTGGATTAGTTTGAAGATTCATTAAAAACACTAATGTAGCATACCTTGCGTTTCTGGTCTCTTTTACCAACTTTGTCCCCTATACAACATGAAAATTATTGGCACCACAAGATAACGTGTGAGTTTGAATGAAAGAAAGAGAACAGTTTGATCATAATGGAGTACACCTTTCACTTACCTCCAAAACTTGTAGAGTCGGGGATGAATGTTCTGTCTTGTTGTGCACGCTGTCAACAAGCAGATATCAACTCCATCAAATGCAAACACAAAGATAAATCTTTATCTAATTCATCTCATAAAACGTAAGAATACCAAAAAAATATTTTTTTTTTAAAAAAAGGAAAGAGGTGCAGTAAAGAGTTAGAACCAGGATCCTGACCTTAGGAGGTGTACCAGGAGTCTCAGAATATGAACCTTCACGATAAGATGAGCCTTCTGCCTCCTTGTATTGTAGCTGATTTTAAACACAAAAAGTATCAAAGAAACTCATTAGCCTCTTCTGATAAAGAATAAGTGAAAACCAGTATTCCATGAAGCTTCAACCTTGCAACTAAAGCATCCCTAAACACAAATGAAACAATGAGTACACTGGCGTTGAACCAATAAACGAGAGAGAGAGATATGAAAATCCATCTGATCAGAAATGACAGTAAATGATATACTGCAAAAGCATAGGAGACAAATTGATCAAATAAACCTCAACTCCTTTTGGATTTTGACACATATTTCCTAGATAGTTTACTTCTTCACCAGCTATTAATTGAATAGTTTCCAATTATTGCTAAGTAATGCTTTGATGTATGCAGCAATGTATTCTTGTGTGGGCTGAAATGCACCAGTATTCTTGACACAGTCACTATTCACTTGAGCCCACAATTCCAAAGTTTGCCTATGCCTGACAGTTGGCATCTAACCAATTACGCCTCATTATGAACAAAACATAGCGCAACACAAAAAAGACACAAATGACACAAATTTTTATGATATTCCAACAGTACTGAAAATTCAACCTCAAAATCTTCCTTAGTCTAAAGCTTATCCCAACTCATGATCAAGAAAATTATGGAAAGAACTCTCAATATAATACCTGCTTTTGAAGATTTAACAGGGTTAGTATTTCTTTCCTCAGTTCAAGATGTTCTGCACAGACAAGCTTAGTTGGGACCTTCGGCTTCAAATTAACCTACAGATGGAAAAAAACACGTTCTTCTCAGTCAATTTAGCGGAAATATTTATCATACGATAAAATAGTTAAACCAGGAGGTATAAGAAAGAAATGAAAGGTGCTAAGGAACAGCAAAATTGGTGGAAGAAAATGTAGTAGAACTTGTGCCAGGCGCAACTGCACAAGTATGGATAATTAGATAACTGAGATTGTACGATGTAATAGAATTTCTGCCACATGTAACATGGCACCTCAATAGCACATGTTCCAGATGATTAGACAACTGATATTGCACCTCTGATGTTAGTTTAAAAATCTGTGCCAGGATAAACGCCACAGTGATTCCAAAGTAAATATACAACAAAACAAATGTATTAGGGAGTAGAAACAAACCCCAAGGTCTTGTAAAGTTTGTTCGACCCTCTTGATTGTCCGAAGTCCAGCTGAAGAGCTCGCGGCTTGCACCATTTGCTCTAGTGCATATGTTCTCAAGTACACACGAAGCTGAAAGATTTTCAGTTTGTAAGATTGATAGTTGATACTATCGGATATGATTTTAAGCATTCATACTTTTTACACAAAATTAGTTTGAGCTAACAAAGGAACTTCTCGAGCCTTCTATTTGGATGGGTTCTTCATACTAGTCTTGAACCCTTGACCTAGTGGAAGGCTATGATGCCAATAAGCATTTACTCGACCGCCAAACTCAAGGAAGCCTGTGAACTTCTTGAGCCTTCTAAAGATCAGCTTTTTTCCCGAAGGAACAAAAGTTCAGCAACATATGGACCCAATATACATACTAAAACAGCTTCCTGCAGGTGCCCAAAATCCTAATCACCTCACATCTCCACCTTGACATTCTACTCATTATAAAAGATAAATAGTACATGTATTTCACACTAAAACAAAATCCTAATAAAATAATGCATACATAACCTATGAATAAACTACTGATTTAAGAAAGTTGACTAGATTGCCCAGGTTGAAGGAACTTTGAATTTTTACTATAAGTAGGATAGAACCACGAAAAGAGGACAATAGCATTCTTATTCTCAAACATACCATGCGAAGAGAAGCCAAAGTAGAAGCAGTCTCTGACACTGGAGGTGCAGCAATCCCAGAGGGTAATTGAGCATTTGGGGAGGTTGATATTCCATCAATACCGGCAGCTTTTTCAGCACCTTCAGGGCCAGCATCTGACACAACTGGAAGTTCTGTCTCTTCAGCCGCCTGAGAAAATGCAATAACCTGGTTAGTACCGGCTAGTAAAAAAAAATCAATAAAGAGGGTGATACACAGTCAATAACTATAGTTTCCCTTGAAGAATGTTCCCAGTAAAAGTGGGTAAAAGGAGCCCTATAACACTTACCTTCACAGATTTTCGTGCCACTGATATTCGTTTTGCTTCGGCAAGAACCTAAGACCAAGGTGTGAAGGGCAGGTTAGTGATTTTGAAAGAATAACTGGCACCAGTAAATATTATGCGCATGGGTTATCAAGAGGCTCTTTTCAAGAACTAGACATGCTGTTAAACATGGGATGATGTCTAACTTTTATCAAGGAGGGCACTCATTTAGAGAGATCAACTAGAACAAATATGTAAACAGAATGCACAAACCTCTGCATCCCTCCGCTCTTGCAGCTTTGTTTGTGAAAGCACCATCGACAGTGCACGTTTTCGCTCTATCTCTTGAGAGACATTGTAAGGCTCCTATTATTGTAAGAAAAAATTAGAAAGACCACAAGAAACTGAACTTTATAGAAAAAAATCAAGTTTAGAAGAAGATACATGCCCAGCACAAAGCGGGGTAAGCTGGCGGTGTTGCTCCAAAAGAAGTAAATAAGAAAGGAAAATAGTCCTCAGTTGAGAAAATCAGAACTGTTAACAGACCTTTACAAAGGGATGTCCAGCAACATCGGCAGGTGATGCAGCCCTAGCAATTGTAATAGCACGAGATACTACATGCGACGAGGTCCAAAACCATCATGAAAATCAAAAGATTTTTGGAGTTAAAAACATATAAAGTAGAAGATACATTAGTTTAACCAATTGATAAGCAACGAGAAATTGTACAATACCACTGTAGTAGCGGTCCTTCAGTTCCTCAACTGTACGATTTGAAGAGAACCTATCAGCTATGATAATGAAACGGAGATCAAACCTCTTGCACAGCTCAAATAATTGATCAGTCTCTTCCTTGGTCCATGACTAACATTTGAGAACAACTGAGGTCAGAAAAATGTATGCTAAAGAATTGAAGAAAGAGTAACTGATTGCCTTCCAACGACATAAGCATATGTCTGGACAAAGGAGAATGCATGGAAACTACAAGCACAATTCAAGACCAGTTCTAACAAAGATTAAAAAGATATAATTGTGAGTTGCTGAGGATTTCAACAAAGTTAAAGCACGAACATTGGGCAATATACTTTATATCACTTCAAGCAATTGAGGGTTTCCACAAAATCTGCAAACTAAAGGTTGCTGCTGGGTAATCATATAACGTGATATTAACAGTCATTCTATAAAACAATACAAGATATAAACAGTTGTTCAATAAACTACTACAGCGAGGACGTGGAGTACAAGATTGTAATAGAGCTTAAAATTCAATTCGAAGAATTGATAAAGCTAATGATTCTTTATATTGTGTCTTGCCAGGAAGATAACAAATCCAATTTGGATAGTATTTTGATACTTACAGGATCGGACAAGAACTTCTCATACTCATCGTTAGTGTACTCAAGTACATCCACAGACTGCATTCATTAGACAGAGAGCAGATTTAACACCAGAAACAAAAGACCTTCAGGAACAAGAAGAACCCTTGATATACCTTATTAAACTTGGCAAACGAATAGTCACCTGTAGGCGGAACACCATTAACAACTCTCACCTGGGATTTTGTCAAAGTCAATGAGTTTCTAGTAGATGGTTTGTCAGTTACTTTAAGCAGATTCTAAAATCAGTGGAGACACATACCCAATGATAAAGCTGTAAGTTATCTTTTCTAGCAGAGCTTGTGAACGGAAGCCATTGCCACGTAATCTGAATAGCAAGGCAGAAGAATTTATTAGCTTCTGTTAAAATCAAGAAAAAAACACCCTCGAGAAACATCCACTAGCGACACAAAAACTTTGTTAGTGCGATAAACAAAGAAGGCATCCAGATAACCTACTATCGTAAAAGAAGGTGCGGTGAGGATTTGCAATTGGCTGGAACTACACATCAACTTAGTTCCAAACTAGTGCAACAGTTAGGAAATTATGCTGGTTTATTATTCTCATGTCCCTACTCCATCCTGGAGAGAAGATAGGAAGCTCTTCCGCTATGCTCTATATTCTGAGGAGAAAGATTCAACTGACAATCTAATGAATAAAATTGCTTTCGATTTTGGTCTATCTATTCTTCTATTCATCCTTCAACATAGGTTTTATTTAAGTATTCTAGAGTTTGAAGCTATTTTCATGCTACTCCGATAACACATTAGACTAGGAATTTCAACAGAGAAAAATGAAGAAGTCAGTTTTCCATCAATCACCAGCTTATTTACCATATTTGTTCTCCAAAAAAATGGGATACCACAGCAACTAGTTTTTTATGAGACCAGCTATGAGAATTACTAGCAAATATTGTTGAAGCAAAATCAAATGCTTAAAACAAATAAAATTGTGGGCAGGGTGAAGCACCAGTATCATCAATCCAACAATATTTAGTCCCTCGTTATTATTATGCAAATTCCACAAAGGACAGATGTCTCAATCTCATCTCTAATTAATATTCACAATCAACCAATTATGTCTCAGCTCCAAATTAGTTAAGGTCAACTAAATGAATCCTATTGCATTGATCTCGCTCTTTTCAGGTTCAATATTTAGAGCATTCGTCAAGCATTCATCGTAGTCTTACTATGTTACAATTCATTTAAGGACTTCCAGCTTAAAATTCTATTCCTAAGAAAACACATAAAAGGGGAAAAACAGAATTAAGCAAATTAACCTTTTCGGACTCTGAAAGAGCTTTTCGTTTCAATTGATTGATGTCAAGAGAAGGCATGAGAGGTGCAATACCACCTGTAAGTGCGTAAACCTGGAAATCCGAAAAGGTAATTAAATTCTAGAATACTCGAGAAACTACAATTGCACAGTAATGGAGAGAAAGGAGAGGATAAAACAAACTTCTCGCGAAATGCCATCAGGTTTCCTTTGAGATTCTTTCTGAGGTCTCGATTTCTTTTCTTGGGACATAATGGGTCCATTTTTGGGCAATCCTAAGATGTCCTTCGCATCCATATAGATTTGTTTTCTGAGAAATTAGGGTTTGTTCTAACACTATGTAGTACTAATATTGAAGTACAATATGATAAATTAGTACAAACGTTGAAGAATTGGAAAATAGAACAGCTGAATTAGTTTACACACGAATGGGATTATCATTCAAGGAACAAGTAAGAGCGATGATCCTTTGCCCCTTTTTGAGCGCGAAATCGAAGAAGAGGATTTGTTTTTTTCCTCGCTTCACCCGCTAAATTGGGCCGGGTCCGGTCAACTTATTCTAGGCCCACCTCATTGGGCCTCAATCTGTTCTAATACATTGAGTGGGCTGGTCTGGACCGGTCCCTCTTCTCAATCAGTATTGGGCCTAGTGTGCAGCCTATCATCTGATCCAGAATGGTCTCGGAATTATCTTTTTTTTTTTTTTTCAGCATCTCGGAATTATCTGAATTTCCTTTTTAACATTATTTTTGGTTATTATATTCTTTTCAGACTGGATTATTGAAGGACGATTAACTTGCATTAACTTCCCGTAGCTAGTAAGGAAACTTTATGTAATTGCAGGTCTATTAAAGGAAGTTGGGGTTTAGCCTCTTGACTTTAATGGCTTTATTGAAGTGGTAAATATTGACTATATAATTTTCTTGTTTGGATAATTTGCTAGGTGTTTCGACAATATCTGAGTTGAAATTGAAATGAAAAATTGTGAAAGTTTGATTTTGCACTATAAATCACACGAGACTGTTATAACTCCCTCTTCCAAAATCGAAAAAATGGCCCTTCATCATAGGAGGGTGATTCAACTCTGCTGATTATGATCTGCTTACATAGAATGATTCTGCGACTGCTAATATTTTGTCCTTATTTAAGACAGTACAAAAAATAGCACCATACAACGGGAAGAATGAAAGATTATGCTAGTTCAATTGTTCAAATGTTTTGCCAAATGGAAAAAAATTTAATATTATTGAATTGGTCATAATTTCGCTTGGGTTATTCAATTGTTTACTAGTTTTGTTAAACGGATACAAATTGATACTATCTTCATTCTACTGATCGAATCAGTTAAATTCTTCACAAGTTTTGGTGGATGAAAAGATCTTGCATCTATCGTTTGTTAACAGATTTTGCCAAACAAACTAATCAATTTGGTACTATCTTCATTCTATCTATCTTGTTAAGTTGTTCTTGAGTTTCACTAAATGGGCAATTCCTGCCAAGTTTTGTAGCACCATAGGGTACTCCTGAGTCTTGTCCATGCTATTTAGTAACTTCTTCATTTAACGAGCTACATCTTTTAAAAGTCCATTTCATTTGAATAAGAATACGAACCTTCTGTAGACAAACTAATTAAGATATTATTGGAGAATATTTTCTCTGCAACCATATGATTGCAATATAGTTTGCCGTTACGATGTAAGAATTTGTGAAATTGCTGCAAATCATAGTTTTATTATTGAATGGTAGATTTGAGTTATCTGCAATAGTATATATTTGGGTGGCGGAATAAACATACGGATCCTTAAACTTGTTCCGGCTCCTTAAACTTGAACAAGCTTTTGGTAATAACCTGTGAAATTACCATTAACAACAAACTTCATACAACTCAGGAGCATCTAGTGTCATAGCCACCTTCTAGGAAGGGCTCTATAAACATCCAGACCTCAAAACTATCCAGAAAACCTCAAAATAATTACATAACTTTTGAATCAAACTATAAGACCTACTAGCTTTCTTTGAGTGTTGCACTAATCCTATCCTTTCTCTTATCTCCTTTTGAATCTGTGCTATGACAAAATTTGTATTTACATTTTTATTTCTGAAAATCTTCTAGTTTCGAGCTTGCCATGTATGGTAAATCATTGCACCCCATATTGCTGTCAGAACCTCTTTCTTGAATTGCCTCCAGTGTCTTCTTTTTATCCATTGTATACATTGCATCACTCCTTTCTTCTGTATTGGTGTTCCTGCCCAGGAAGTCAATGCATTCCCTACTTTAGTGATCTATCTACATTCAACAAACAGACGGTGTTAAATTTTCCTAATTCCTTCCTCACATAAGCAGCAACCGTCACTTTCCACTTGTATATTGAGCATGTGTAATCTTTCCTTTGTAAACAGCTTCTCCCGGCTTGCAACCCATACTATGAATCTCTGTCTTGGCAGCATTAGTGAGCTCTAGATAATGTCAGCTTCTTTAACTCTTACTAGGCTCCTTTTTAAAGCATTATAACTTCTGGACACTGAGTACACTCCATTATCAGTCAATTGGTACTTTCCTATATGATACCGCTTAGCATTTGTGTTTTCAAAGCATTCAACTTCTTCTAATACCATCTACATTCTATAAGTGGCCTATGCTCCCATATATTGCCTTTGTTTTTCATATAATCTCCATGCACCCATTTTACCCATAACAGGTCTTGCTTATCAGCTAACTGCCATAGCAATTTTCCTACTCATGCAATGTTCCACTCCGTGCAACTCTTTATGTTAAGGCAACCATACTTTTTTGGATTACAGACCTTCTCACAGGATACCAAAGCTAACTTACTCTTCTCCTCAGAGCTCCCTCATAGGTAGTCCATGCATCTCCTATCAACCTCTTTAAGCACACCCTGGGGTAATATAAACACAGCTCCCCAAAAATTATATATTAAAAATAGCACTGCATTGGTTATTTGTAATCTACCAGCATATGACAACTATCTGGAGTATACATTTTTTATGCATTTTTTATCATGTCAGTGATTTTATCCACCAACTAGTAATATTCCATCTTGCTCCAATTCTTTAAAGATAGTGGGAATCCTAGGTACCTCATAGGCAGACTGCCTAAAGAGAACCCTGTTCTATTCAGTATACTCTGCTTGACCTCCTCATCTACACCAACTATAAAGATACTGGATTTATCCAGATTAGTAATTAGGCCTGATACTTTACTGAAATGTTGCAATGCTTCCATAACTCTAGAAATTCATTTCATATCTCCTTTACAAAATATTATCAAATCATTAGCAAAATCTAAGTGAGTTATCTTAGTGTTCTTGCACATTGGATGTAATTTGAAGTCTAGCAAATCACTCATTTTCCTTAAAGTTCTTGATAGGTATTTCATAACTAGGACAAATAGCAAATGTGGCATGAGATCACTTTGCCTAAGTCCTCTTCTTCCTTCAAAATCCACATACCCCCTACCATTGATCTTGATAGAGAACTTAATTGATGAAATACGGGTCATTACCATATGGACAAAAGAATATGGAAAACCATATCCCCTCAAAACTTCTTCTAAGAACTCCCAGCTTACCATGTCATAAGCTTTCATTAAGTCAATTTTCATTGGGCACCTAGGCGAGGTTTTCTTATTATAGTGCCTAAGTAGGTCATGACATATCAATACATTGTGTATTAGGGATCTGAATGTTGCCTGATTTTCAGCCACTACTTGTAAAATAACTTTCTTGAGTCTAGCACATATTATTTTGAAGACGCATTTATACAGCACATTGCAGTAGGAAATGGGCCTAAATTAGCTAGCATACTGTGGTGCAGGGACTTTAGAAATCAGGGATATAATAGTAGTGTTAAGATGTTGTAACAACTTACCATTTTCAAAATATTCCAAGATTACTATGGTTACATCCTGGCCAATTACATTCCAGGCAACTTTGAAAAACTCACTTCCATAGCCACCCGGTCCAGGACTTTTAGTATTGTTAATGCTGAACATAGCTTGCGCCACTTCCTTTCCTGAATAGCTTCTTACCGACTCCATTTGATGGTTAATGGATAACATGCAACCATATCTCATAACACTTGGCCAAGCGTTGCTTCTATACCTTTCCTTTCTCCCCAAAAGTTCTTCATAGTATTCTACAAATACCTTTGCAATCTCATCGTGTTCTGTTTGTAATATGTCATGCTTGTCTTTCAATTATGTAATATCCCGTTGTAGCCTCCTATGTTTAATTATAGAGAAAAAATACCTAGTATTATCATCTCCTAGCTTAATCCATGATACTTTACTTCTTTGTTGTAAAAATATTTCAGCTAGATATGAAGATCTCCTTAATTTCGGATGCAACTCTCTTTCCTTCTGATGCAACTCTACATTGTTTGGATTGCTATGCATCTCCCGTTAGATTAGATATAGTAATGCTCTATCCTCATCAGATTAAGATATAATATTCCTAAAGTGTTGGCCATTCAATTTTTCAGCTTTCTTTTCAACCCCTTGAGTTTCTTTAGTACTTGAAACATTTCACATCCTTCCACCTCTTATTCCAACCCTTCCTTGACAATGCTATTGAACTATGTGTGTGTGGATCACATATTGCAATATTTGAAAGGAGTTTTTGCTCTCCTAGGTGTGTTGAGTTGTGCTAGCTTCACTGAACTATGGTCACTATTTCTTTTTATTAGGAAATTAGCATTGAAATCTGGCATCTGATTCAACCATTCATTGTTGACAAATACCCAATCAATTTTGGAAAACACACTATTATCTCCTTTCTTATCATTCTATGTATATCTGCTATCCTGATGAGACAATTCTATCCATCCACATACTTTCACACGTTCTTGAAAATCCATTACCTCTGCTAAGCTAACTGGATTCCTTCCTACTCTGTTGTCAATATTCAAGACTGCGTTGAAATCTCCCATTATCACCCAAGGTCTTTGGTTCCCCCTACCTACATTCTCTACATAACTCCACAAAGTTCTCCTTTCCTCCCTGGTATTGTGAGCATACACCATAGTTAGTAAGAATTCCTTCTGACGAGTGATACTATAGAGTTGGCAAGTAAGTGCTTGAGTTGTACCTCTTACTTTATTTACTTGGAAGTAGCCTGGCCTCCAAGTTATCCATACTCTACCATTATGATGGTAGTCAAGATTAGTTAGTTATTGCCACCCTCCAAACATATAATTTGCCACTCTTTTAATATTTTTCATATTTATTTTTGTTGTACAAGAACTTGTGTTCCTTTCTTCTTTCTACAATCTTCCTCAGCGTGTCCATACTCATGGCAACATTTGTATAGTACTGGCTTCCAATCACAACTAATTTTTTGGTCAATCAACATTCCTTTTTCATTCCTAAAAAATACCTTGTCTGGCAACTTGGTATCACCTCTACTTCAATCAATAACCTTGCAAAATTTAGACCTACCTTCTTATCAGTATTTTGGTCAATCATTAATG